TTATTTTTATTTACTTTGGATTTCCCATGTGAAAATAAGAAAAGATTGAGGAGATACTGTAAATCTTCCTGCAGCACTTCCTTTCATGTTCCTGTTTTAAGGTATAGGAATCTCCTTTTATTATCTCCACAGTGAGGAGCAATACATGTATCTGGGAAAAATTTAACTCAGAGTAGAGTGAGAGAGGAAAGAAAAATAAACAAACAAACTACAGAAGAAAATGTTTCCTAGTACTTCTTGTGGCTGTTCTCTGCATCAAGATTTTGTGGGTTACTCCTGAAAGAAACATGGATTGGAGAATGAATTAATTTCCTCTGAAATGTAGCCTGCCACCCATGAGGAGACATTGCCCTGTTTGGTAGAGTAAAGGAACCTCAGAAGGGGACAGAAGTAAAGCTGGACATCATTGAAAAAAAACCCAAAAATAGTGGTTATTATTTGGAGGTTCCTGGATACAACAGTAGAGATTTTTTGAAACACTGTAGATAAACACTGATATTGTTATATTTGTCTGAAACAGTCCTCTGAATCTTCTGAGATTTGTCCATCACCAGAAAAAAAATAATGAATAATAATTTACTAGTGGAATTTTCCCATTGAATGCAAATGATTCCAAAAGTTTAAAAAAATGTTTCAAGTGTGCATTTGTCAGACAGCTGGTAAAGAGTTTCAAAAATAAAGAAAATTATATATAATGAATAACCAATTGCAGTGGATGCTAGGAGAGTAAACGTATTTTTATTGTGAGGACATAATGCTGCTATAACCTAACCTTCTCCACCCCTGTAGGGTAAAGAACAATTAATGAAGGAGAGGATGCTTTTATTAATCTGTAGTCCATTTCTGTGCTATATAATATTCATTAGATGTTCACTAGTAATTTCTTCCATCTACCCCATATTTTGTAGACAAAAATCTTTTTTCAGCCTTGATAAGAAAAGACTGATAAATAATTAACTAATACACGTTGTCTATTTTTTTCAATATAATCAACAAAATCTTAACACATTTATAAGCCATGACACATGGGAGGTCAACATGCATTTTGTTTTGAGAAAATCTTTCAAGACAGGGTTACCAAGACTCCAAACTTCTATTCTTTGAACATCTCTCAAACTGTGCTTTCTAGAAGCACCCTCCCCAAGTGTAGCTTTATTCTGACAGTCATTCCAATGGTGGATTTTCACTGGTGTATATATGCTAATAATATGATTTTCTGACTTCTTTCTCCCCACTCACAAAATATTATATTTCCAAGTAGATGCTGTAAACTGGTTTTCTGTTTACACTAAGCCATTTAATCAGCTACTTGGATTGCTTCATTAGATTTCCATTTAAAAGCATTATAGGAAGAATACCTCCTTGTAGCGGAGCATACCTCCTAAAAAAACTGAGAAATCTCCTGCTTTATTTTTATGGTCAGGAAAGGAAACTTTCTGAAAGCCTGAAACCTTACCATATGAAGGGTTAAATGATGGCATTGATTTTTATAACATACTGTTGCTCTTGTGAACTCTAACAGTAAGCTTCTGATTAACTTTATCCTTTCTTTTTAAAATAAAAATCTAGCTTTGATTTATTTTTATTTCTAAGGAGATTTGGTAAAAATATCCCAGTCTGAAGCAAATGTACTACTCACCCTTTTGGACTGTAACTACAATGGATTCCTATGTTCATACTTGCTGACATGATATTTCAGCTTTCCTTTGGCACATAATTTTATAGTATCTGCTCCTAGTCAATTGTCCTTTGATATGTAATTTTATAGTATCTCCTACCAGTTTCTCAGACCGTTTTTATTGGTGTTGGTCAATTCAGGTGTGTAAACTAAGCTAAGAACATCAGTATGAGGATTTTGAGTTGAATGAGAATGAGTTGTTCATTAATTCTGCTGGTAGGTCCTAAGTCCAGCATTATGAGAGATTTCTGCCACATTTTTCCAAAGGTTTTTTAATTAGTCTGTCCTGGCTTGCCCAAGGGGCTACTGCAAAATCTTCAGGCCCTGATCCAACAGTCAAATATTCATGTCTGGGATCTTACTGACCTCAACAAGTCTTTAGGCAGATACTAACACAGACCACTGTGAATTCTCTTGTAGCAGGAGAATTTCTAAGATAATCAGTTGCAGAGTTGCTGTAAGTTTCCGATGGGTTGGAGATCAGCAAATGCACCAGCCATGCAGGTTCTCAACTTCCTTATGGTCACAGTAAGAGTATCTGCCCATGTATCATCCATTGGTGGACCCCCGGAACCCTGGTGACAATGTCCTACATCTCTCTCTTCCTCTCTCTTTTTCTATATGTGCACATACGCACTTACTTATAGATGCATGCATACATACACTGGCACCATGTAGCTAATTTACATGGAAGTGTGCATATATGTATCACTGCAAGTAGACACTTGTCTCCTGAGTGCATTCGTCTGGTTACCAGTTGGCCATATATTATCTGTTTTACATGATCTATTTTCTCCATAGGATTCTGGGCATCGATATGACTTATCTTGGTCATGCCACCTCATTCACGTAAAGCACAAAAAGTGAGAGAAAAGTTAGAGAACTGAGAATTACTAAGTCCTTTGCATTAAAAAATAAACACGAGTAAATATGCTACATACCCAAGTATATTGGAACTTTTTGCAATTACAGTGTGCTAGAGGTAGCTGACTTGGGATTTTGGATTTGATCCCTTTCTTAAGCACACAAATATAAATAACGAGGAACACTGCTAAGTCCACTGAGAGCAGCCTTATAAGACTATCTAAGAATGAGGTCTTTGTTCTGGACTTTGGGCTAATATTTTTGTAGTTTTCTTTCTGTGGAAGTGATATATGCAAAACTAACTTCCAAAACCCACTCACTTCTTTTGCTGATCCAGTATATGACCACAAAATAGAGCTCTAATAAACCAATCTAAAAAAGGAACTGATCTCCTAAGAGCACCAGAATAAAGTTTGCATTAATTCCTGGCTAAATACAACGGTTATGTAATTAATAAAATAAGTATCCAGAACAGTAAGTGCATTCTGGAGCTAAAATTATTTTCCTGTACTGTAACAAACACCACTCTTTAAAAAAATACTTCATCCCTGGGAATAAAGAAATAACACTCCTATTTTTCTTCTTACGTATTTTATACAAAAATGTTGTCAATTTCCAAGTGATCCATGTTTACCCTTTTATTTAATTATTATTTCTTTTAAAATGAAGCTATTGATGTAATATAAAATACTTTTTTGTGCAAAAAAAGGCCTGCTAGGACTGAGTTCTGACATCAAGGAATTAGGATACACTGCCACACAGAACCTAGAGTTTAGTTTCTCTTACAACTTATATTTAACTGTTAAAATGAAATCGTGGCAAATATAAAGTTGGAATTCATTTTTATAAACTCTGATTAAAATGCAGAGTTGGTAATTTGGAAAACATCCCAATGATACCTGAGGGGTGAAGCAGGAGGATTAGAGATACTGAGGAAATAACACCCAGAACTGAGCATTTTCCCACTGCATCCATTTAAAAAGCTACAGTTCTTGTTTCTTAAAAATGAAGCCTCTTTGTAGTTTTCTTACAGCCCCAAATTTGTTAAAGAAAATGAGACATCACTACAGATAGATAGCTTCTTTATAATCTTCTCAAGCTGCATTTCACTATGTAAACATCTCTGAACAAAAAAACACGCAGGACCAGATCCTGTGCTATGCCATGTGCAGAAAATCCTTTTGGAGTTCGGCAAGGTTAAAGCAAGCAGCTGAAACTCACATTTGGCCTACCCTTCCTTACAGGGATGCCAGTGGGCCATCTTATCTTTACCTCTTTATTTCTCCAAACTTTTGTGGATGAGCCTTTGTATTCCAACCCCCACTTTAAAAAAATAATATAATGGAAGGTGGGAAGAAAGTGAAGTTTCAAGTCACAGCACTGCCATGTGAAGGTCCACATGGTTATGCCAAGGGCCTGTATCCTTGGCCAGCTCATCAAGTCTGAAAGTGAAACATGAATCTGGTTATAAGATGAAAGTTATGGAGTTGGAGTAACACTGGGAGTTGTGGAGTTGGAGTAAAAGCTGGGAACAAAACTTGCTAAATAGACCAGAGAGTGTTACAACTGATTGTGTACATTCCATCAGACCTTGCTGAACAACCTGCTGTTACTAATATCGCCAACCACAAAGGCATGTTGCATACAAAGAGTAATTCTGTGTTTGTAAATCACAACCAAGGCATTAATTCCCATTTAATGTCAGTGCTGTATAGAATATGCTACATATTTTAGGGAGTTTTTGTTAAGGACTGCTTTCTTCTTTGGAGTTATAATTGTATTCTACCTCACTAGGAAAACAGGACATTGTCCATATCAAAATACATAGTAGTCAAAATTAAAATTTGCCCTTTGTCTGAGGCAAATTTTATGCTAATTTAATTTCACATGAAAAACTTCCAGCCCCACCCCCCCCAAAAAAAAAAAAATAAATAAATTCACAGACAAGGAATAGCACAGCTTCATAGAGAAATACACTTTTGAGGAGTAAGTTTGCATCATGAGGAGCCTTTCAGGCATCCTGCTGCCCTGTCCAAAAACTGCTCCAGAGGCTAAAACAGTGGTCATTCCCCCAAATGCCAACACCTTCTTTGAAAGATGGGGCAGCAGCAGAAGCAAGGAGCACGCTATACAGGCTCTCCTGGAATGCAAACTGGCTTTAAGATAAATACTAATATTTAGAGAGAGAAATATTTACTTATATTCCCCTAAACACTGCAGCTGTAACTATAAAGCATGTGAAGATGGCAAAGCAGCCAGACCCCTTCCTAAGAGTGGTTTGTTGTTTTTTTTTTCTCTCCTAACTATAATGTGTGTCTGCTTTTCTGCCTAAACGGCTCTAAAGGGCTATGAAAACTGAAGTCCTTCAAAGCTGTTAAATGTTTCCTCAGACTCACAATAAAATTCTGCATTACAAATCTCGTAGTAAAATCTCTGAAGCATTGCAAGCAGTACTTACATAATTATCCGTTAATTCAGTATTTGTGTATTCAACACCTAGAAAATAAGGAAAGTGAACATGGATAGGGAAGGGAAAAAACAAAGGCAGGGGGTGGGGAGGGGAAAAAAAAAAAAAAGAGGAAAAAAACCCTACCCTGAAACAGCCATGCAGCTATTAAACATATGCCAAAGTAAACAATAGTGTGAGGGTCTGCCATAGCTTTGCCCTGCAGGTAGACGGCAGGCGGCACAGAAGGAAAGCAAATGGCAAGGAAAAGAGAAAGACGGTACAGGATGTGGATGAGATGCCGAGCCCTGAGAGCATGAACGGCCTGATTGTGATCCTCAAGTCACACCATCAGCCATGCAAAACAGGACATACCTTTCTGGCTTGCTGGTTCTGTCGGCTGAAACAAAGCAGTCCCATTCTCAGCGGGAGGCCAAATCAAAATGAAATTTTATTTAGTCTGCACTGTCCCCAGATTGGGTTTCAGAATGACTGCTTTAGGAGATAGCATGGATGTGGCTGATGCATGCTTTGCATATGAAACTGCAATAGGGGAAAAAAAAAATCTACATAATCAAAAAAATCTGTGCTGCTTGCATGGCGAAAACCCCTGGACGTTAGTGAAGCAGCTACAATGGGTGTTTTAAAAAATGACCCTTCTGAATAAAATGCACATTTGTCTCCGCAAGACTATATTCAATAAACATATAGTAGATCATTTTGCATGTAATTATTCAGAAGCTGCCCTGAAATATCAAATCATTTTTCTTATTTTTTTTTTCTAATCACAGAGCAGAATTACAGTTTAGAAACAAATGCAGAGAAAATGCATCTCTAAAGAGGATTTCTGTGCCTTGCAGTGACTGGCAGCATTTGCACCTCAGAATTCTCTTCAGTTTATTGTTTTGTTTAAGTCCCTGTTTCCTAGAGTACCCAAAGAAAGGCCTACTGCAGTAAAAAACATCTGCTTTTTGTACCACTGATCTAATGCATTCCACCTTGCACTTTTAAGAAAGGATCCATTCTTTGATTAGACACACTTAATTTTACAGACTATTAATAAATAAAAAAGATCATCAAATGATCACACAGTATTTTCATTAGAAGTTAGAAATAACTTACAAAGGCAAGGAATAGTCTGCAGAATACGCAGGGCATACAGCATGTAATGCCTTTGTTGTCAGTTATGCTGCAAATGAGATTTTCAAATAGGATTTGCAGAGGCAGGGCAGTGATCAACACAGTGCAACATCCAGGAAAGGGAAGTTGAACACAGTATTCTGTGAAACAAGGGGGCAGAAGGGAGCCTGTTTGTAAATACATATTATTATCCAAAGAAAACACTTATCACTGCTTGATTTTGTTACACCAGCTACTTAGAACTAGGTGACACCAATAATTTTGTAGGTGCACATCTGTGTGGGCACGTGTGTTTGTATTTATCTATGTGCAGGGCATATAAAACTGCAGTCTGTACACATGTACACGCTTGATACTTACACTGTAAAAAACAAGCAAAAGGCAGAACAAATACACATGGTTTCAATTGACAAATATTTCTCTGCTAAAGCAAGCAGGGCTAATACTGGGCTCCATAGTATATGGACAGCCAAAGAATGGAAAGGAAAAAACCAAAAAAGCCCAACACCATAAACTCTTTAAGAATGCAAAGGGGATAACGATCCCAAATATACAATATAGATGAAAACTTCCAGGAATAATGAGGTACAGTGCAAATCATTCACACAATGTGCTTTCACACAGCAATGATGGAAGTCACTGACAACAATGCAACCATGTGCAGATACTCCTTGGAGAAATAGTCAAGCAAATTTTGTAATTCTATCTTCTGTGCTGTGGAGGCTGAGTTTGAGACTTGGTATAACAAAATGTGTTCAAATATTGGTGCTTTAAAATTAAGAATTGGGCATAATGGAAGGTAACTTCATAATGAGTTTGCCTATTGCTATTTAAAGCTAGAAAATCCATACGGAGCACAGTGCAAAATATAGCATTGGTTCTCCTTATGTCTTAGAACAACTGTTTTTATATTTGTAGTCATCCTAACTGTTATTCCAAACAAGATATACAGATAGTCCCCAGCCTCATGGTGTGTCATATTTAGTCTGATGTATATCTTATAGCAAAGCTTTGTCTGTATTGAATTAATTTGATTTTTCTTTTTTGGTGTTATTATTTTTACAAATGCTTTTTTTTTTTTTCACAGAACTTCCCACTTTAGGGAGAAAAAAAAAAATGTGATTGCTTTAAAAATAGAAGACCAAAACCAAGGCTAGTATTCCCAAAATTCAACGCACCTGGCATTCACTTTATACCTAATAAGCATCCGTGAATATGCAAATGTTCAATGTCTCCAGTAACCTCATTAATTTATTCCTCAGGCAATCAAAGAATGTGAACCAATCCTCTGCTACTAATACTGGAAGTGGTACGCTGCTCAGTATTGCTAGAATCATCTGAAAGCACATTCTGCACGCTGAAAAACTGTTTTATCTTTCTTCTATCCTTCACAATCTAATTCAAACAAAGACTTCCAACCTCAGATTACAGAGATGACAACAAAAGTTGAATGCCAAAAAATAATTAGAACATATATTTTTATCCATCAATCATCTATCTATCTATCTATCTATCTATCTATCTATCTATCTATCTATCTATCTATCTATCTATCTATCTATCTATCATCTATCTATCCATCCATCCATCTATCTATAATCTATCTCTATATATACATCTCCCTGTGCACACATACAGTGGGAAGGTAAATAGTTTAAAGCGATCTCAACAGAATTCTGGTTTGAAAACCACCTGAGTTTTCTTATTTATCTGGAGAGGGGGAGCTTAGGCAGGATGGGGAGGGGGGAGAAATGACCTGCCTTCTACTCTGCAGAGCAGCTGAATAATCTTTTCCTTTGCCCACATTAAAAGCCCTGAATAATGTTTATAAAATGTTAGGGAATCCCGGTAGGTTTCCTATTTAACAAGCCATGTATGACAAATCACAGTGTAATGTACTACGTTCTTAATCTTTAATTAGAATGTGAATATCTGCACGAGAACGCAGTTAACTTTGACACATTAAATCTTCTGGTTAAAGTGCCTTACAGGAAGTGCAAAGATGAAACACTGCAACAATCTACTGCCTCTCTCCATTCACCCAGACAGTTGGGGAAGGATGATAACATCTTGTAATACCTGCTCTGTAGTAATTAATCGCTGTGGTATTTAGGACCATTCAAGTAGACAAATATGACAGAGACAGGGACAATTAGGAACCTTGTTCAAGCTACATTAACTTTTCCAGCTATTACAACACAGCAGCTCAAGTTTGCTTGTAAAAGCTGCAGAGGGATTGTTATGCATTAGCCGTGCGATTATTAATGAAAGAAAAGGAGAATTGTGTTTATTGTAGTTTGAAAATTGCAAATAAATTTCAATTATCTGCTATGTCATTTTGTTAAACATGCATTCTGGAAATGCCTTTGTACTCTAAATCATGAGCTGCTTAGAGCAAACTAATACTAGAAAGCCTTTGGGAGATATAAAGTCAATATTTTTGTTGAACTGTCCTTCTTTCTTGTTGAAACTGGAGATAGACAGAGCTACCTAAAGGTATTTCAGATAGTTAGCAAACCCCACAGACACTGGCACTCACCCTGCTCCATGTACCAACCAACAGGCAGTAAGATCAGAGTTTGACACATTGCCGGTGGAACTTGCTCGCTGCTCCACAAGAGTGAGAAAGTTCAACTCCCTTCCTGATTGCATGCAGAAAGTGCACACAGGAAAATAAATAAGTAAACAACTAGTGGGAAAAGCCCCTCAAAAAAGCCCTTTGGCTCTTTCCTATGATTGCCACAGTCATTACCAGAACTGACCAAATGAAATGCAAAAGAGAGATCTGGGGTTATATATTTATAGGGAAAGATATGGTTTATATATTATAAAGGTTACACACTGCGCTTTACTTTCCCATCAATAAAGAGCAACAAATGCACCACCGTTTACAAAGTGTATGTTTTGACTATACATTTGAGGCAGCACAATTTGCTGCTGTTTGTTACCATATGAACATATATCAGTTTTCAATGTTAAAGGAGGACAGCCATAAAACAACAGAACTGGACAAAAACCGCAAGGACTTCGGCATGAATATTCACTCAGGGGCTGTTTTCTTAAAAAAAAAAGAAAGAAAGAAGGAAAAGAAATCACCTAAACCTGTGGCCCTTTTATGTTCACTTTCTATGAATATTTGAACTAGAGTTTCTTAGCAGCATGAACGCTTGCAGAAAGCTAATTTGAAAGTCATACGTGCGAGTGTTTGTGGAAAATGAATTCTAAATTTGCATGTGCAAATATTTGCACTGGGTATGCTGCCGTCTTCCCCCAGTCAGGGAACAGCAGCGCTGCCACGTGCCTCTCCCCACCAATCCCGCCCCAGGAACCCAGCTTGAGTTTCAAATATTGTGTCAAATTTGCCCAGTGAACTTGTTTACGATCGAGCCACAAAGTAGAAAAAACCGAAGTGTTAAAAGTGTATGAAATGTACTCGAACAACAAATGTTTGCAGTGTTGGGAGATGTGTAGCTGGGCATTTGGAAAGCAGAAACAGAGGCACGCTGGCACAAACCAGAGTTTGTTAGAAAGTGTTTGCTCAGCTCTGGTAAGACTGTTTTTACCTCCTCTCTCCTTCCAGGGGGTGAAAAAGAAAATGAAAGGGTGAAAATACCCATCAGGGCAGGGAACATTCTCTGCCCATCTGCCCGTTTTGTGGTCAATCTATTAAAATACTACCCTTTATTTCAAAATATTTATGAACCTCAAAGTGCTTCCTGAATGTGTAAGACAGGACACCATTTATTTGCAGGTGAGGTCTTCTATGTTCTTTCTGTAGTTTGTTTTTTGTTTTTTTACATTTTTTTTTTTTTTTTACTTTTCAATTTTGGTAGTTGCAAACTACACTGCCACATACATGCTATTTTTCTGTGACCTGCATCATTGTACTGTAGAAATGAAAAGGCAGCTTAGCCCAGCAGAAATCTGCATCCCCACCCCAGAATCTGTTGTCACAAAATGAAGGAGGGAAGGGGCTGGGGCGGGGGGGGGGGGGGGAGAGGGGGGAAACCAGCTCAGTGCACGGCAACAATTCCCCCTCTCAGCTGAGCTGCAATGATGTCAGCTTTCTGATTACAAACTGCTTATTTATGCTTCAACAGCTGCCAAGAGCAGCAAATAAGTGGCTAAAAGAGTGTCTAGACCAGGCATTCAGGCCTCTATTGTTTGCTGGTTGTTACCTGGTTGACAGCGATGGGTACAGCTGCCTGGTGTGAAAGAGAGCAAGGGATGGGGAGGCAGTGATTGACAGAAGGGCCCTCGGGGTCAGGCACAGCCAGCCCCGATGGCCCCATGGCTTTATGTTCCTTGCTCTAAAGGGAAAGCGATGGCTCTGCCTAGAGGTTGGAGGTGAAAGGAAATGTTTGAGGGTAATGAAAAAAATCCTTTAGCCAAATTTGTGATCATGAACAGTTACTCTGGGGAATTTAAGCACAAGTGTTAGGCAGTTTTCTCTATATGCAGAA